TCCTTGGAGATACTCAGACCCCAGTGGGACACAGCCCTGGGAAACCAGCTCGGGGCAGAGTCTGGACTACACAACCTCCTTATGTCCTTTTTTTGAAACTGGAATTTGGCCTGTACCTACCACCCATGCACCAGCCAGACTGGCCACCCACTCTGCTTGGTGATGGGCACTACTGCCTTGTTTCCTCCCATACGTCAGGGCAAAGAAGTTAAAAGTTGTCCTTTTTTTTTGGATTGTAACAATAACTAGATATAATTGTTCTAAGTGTGTGATAAAGATTTAGAAGAGTGTAATTTTTTTGATATAACCAATATATCTCAGCAAAGACAACGCTGGATGCAGAAGTCAATCCCTCGGGCGCTCAGGACATAGGCCAACTATGATCACGTACACTTACCAATGTCCACGTTTAATTTACAAACTCAAAGCCTCAGTTTCTCTGCTGCTCTGTTCTACCACACTGCTGCACAACAGTCCTATTTGCCCTAAATAAGCTTATTTTTCAAGGACATTTTTAAAACAAAAGCTTGAAAGGAATGAGTTTATCACTTTTAAAGCAATTTATTTGATATTCAGCTTTAAGTTAAAAAAAAAAAAGGAAGAACCTACAACCCAACCTCATGTATCTATTAAGTTGTTTTAAAAACATCTCAAGGCAGGGCGCTTTTTTTTTTTTTTCCCCAGCCATCTGTTGAAATATTTTGACACCAGAAAGCAGATCCAATGTTTGCACATTCCCCAATCCTGTTTGAAAGTGCCAGGAGACGACGTTTGTCAACACACGTCCACGCAACAGGACCTCCACATCTTTGGGGTCCGCATCTTCTTTACTGTGTTGCCAAGGCTTCAGGAGAGGTAACAGTAAAACATTAACAGCAAATCATTAACAGCTTTTAACAGCCTGCTGTACACTGACATGAACTTCGCAAAGAATATTAGGATTATAGAAGAATACATATAATTTTGCAAAATCAAGGGCGAGGGACATGGCATACAACAATCTGGAACCATTTCAGGTGTGTTTTCTCCCCTAAGACCAAACACGGACCCTTCCTTAGAGAATTACCTCTGTGTGGAATAGATCTCAATTTTTCCATTAGTACCTTGTAAAAAAGAGGACACTGCTCCCCCTTTCATACCTAAATTATAGTTAGAATAGTTTAGCACAAGCAGTCCCACATTTGTCGAGAGAATGTCTGTAAGAATTAGACCCCCCCAAATCCCACCCCCTCTGTTTTAGTGATTTATCCTTCACTTGCCCTTTTCTAGCCCAAACATTTCAGTTTTAAAACTCAGCTTATCAGCGTCCAGCTCTGTGACTGGCACCTCATCTGAACAACAAATTAACACTAAATAATCACAAGCAGCAAAAAAAATGGACAGATTAGGCTTCAAAATGATACATTTATTTTAATTAAACAAAGGACACAAGCTCCAATTAACTTAAAAATTTTATACTGAGTTATGGCAAACACAGGACCAGTATGCTCAGAGCACAGACAAATGATTTTTCAACTTAAATTCGTAACACGGGCTGAAATTTTTCAACTGAAAAGCAAAACTTGGAACACATACAAAGAACAGAATATGGGATTATCCTTTTCACTAAATATACCCAATAATTTAATATAAACAATTTAAAAGTATTTAAATACATGCTGAAGTAGCTAAAGTTTAAACCATTAGCAAGATATGTAGATAAAAGTTACAAGAAGTATTTTGGAGCTGTAAAAAAGATGCAACTTCTCCCGCCCAGACAAAGCCTACATAAGTGTCAAGAGAATATTCCCTACCTGTGTGCAGTCCTGCTGACTATCTATTAAATTAGCACTCTGGTACTTAACCTGCAGGCAGATTTACTCACACAGCACGCAGTCAATGATGAAAATCTCAGTAAAAAACATCTTTTGAGCTAACACCAATTGGAAACAAGTATTTTTCAATAAAATAGGTCCTATAACCTACTTGTTTTGAAGGGGGAAAAGGAACGACATCCTACTTCTCTTCCCTATTGCTAAATGGATTTTTTTAAAAGCTTGGTAAATGTTTTACATTTTTTTGCCCTTGAAGAGTTTGTAATCTTATTAGAATCTGAAACTACCCCAACGATGGTCTTACCTAACTCTGAGCTTAGAGGCTTTGCCTGTGTAAGTCACAAGGTCGCCAAAATCTTGCATATCCTTTAATTATTTAAACAAATATTTACATCTCCTGATTAAATATCCACTCAGGAATAAGTTCTGACCAGTTACTGTACACTCGGCAGTCATCCTTTCTCTGAAAGTACTGCAACTTCTGGGTTTTTTGGTCAACACAAAAGACACCAAAGGAAGTTCTCTGAAGCCACTAGTTTGCTGGAGCTGTGTGCATCGCCCAGCCAGAGTTGCTTGGGAAGCTCCCAAACCAGGAACCACTGCGGGCTTCCTCATCTTTTTAAGATCGTAGAACATGCGTCGTTCAAGTCCAGCTGTCATGGGTTTGCCTACTTTAACATCAGAAAGAAGATATTCCGCGCAAAAACGCTTGGCTACGGTTAATGCGCATGTCCTTTAAGCACTTCCAAGTAATGGGAAAACCAACACTTGTGATTGACATTTAAATGTATTTTATGTAACCTGTTAAAATTTCAAAATATGCCGAATTTCAAACAAGTCCAAAAGCTAAAAACTTTCAATAATAAACTTTAATCAGGACATTCTTCTTCATATATAAAAAAAGATTAATTATTTTTGGCTCCCTTCTTATTTAATCCACAGAAAATTTAAGTGAACAGTAAACACAGAAAAAGAACAGCAGCAAAGTGTCTTAAATTCCCAAACACTACAATCAGATAATTTTTTGTAAGGACAATTAAAGCTCTGTAAAACTTTAATCAATAAATCTTTGAAAACAGCCTTTTCTGCTACTTCCCTGTATAAAACTGGTACGTGTTCTAGTGCATGCAATTCTTCGGTTTCTGGTATCCCACATAAGGTAGCAACTTTAGAGTATCTTTACCATGTTTCAGGAATGTCAAGTAAGGTTGTTCCATGTTATTTTCAAATTGAAGATACGCAGCTGCAAAATTCAGCATACTTCAAAGCCCGTTAATTCTCATTGTAAGTTACACAATGCAAAATTAGTTTTTAAATTGGATTTCTGTGAAATTATTTTTGCATTTGCATCTAAGATAAGTTGTGGCCTATAAAAGCACCTAGCGAAGTCCTGTCTTCAAAATCCACAAACTGATTTCATGCTGAAATCTCCACGTTAATCTCAATTTACAAGGAAGAGAACGGCCCCCTTGTTTAGGGAACGAGAATTACGAGGATCGCGCCGATTTGAAATTTCAGCTTTGTCACAGCAATTTTACACTTCAGATGTAATTGCAGTAATTCTCAGGAGGATCTTCCCTACTGTGAGCAGCTTTCTTTGAAAACTGTGCAGAATATGGACTCAACACTTCACTAAACACTGACCCTTTTTCTAGAGTTACTGGTTCTGTACACCTTGCTTTGGAAACAACTAAATAAAATGGTCCGTTATGCAAGCCATGAGACTGTCAAAACTTCATTTGTTCCACTAACTTCAAATAAGTTTTTACAAATAATTTAGCCAATCTATATAAATACTGAATATGGATTTATGCTGAAATATGCCCTGGAGTCAACGTTTTCTACAAAAATATGCAACTATTACTAAATGCATTAAGTACTAGCTGCCCACCTCAGTACTGCTGTGTACAGCGCCATTGTAAGATGGGCTCTCTACAGTGTACACAAAATTAAGAACGTTCGTATTTTTTACAATACTGGGTGCAAAATAAAAACAGAATTGAAAAGAACAAACCACAACCTTGCTGGTTCAAGTCACACTACGTGTATTTCATAGCAGATTTTAAGAAAGAGACGAAAATTTAGGCTACATCCTAAAAAACATCCCAGAACTGGTAGTTTTTCAGCTTACAAATTTACTACTAAGGACAAGACATTAATGAGTAAACCTTGACCTATTGTCAATATTTAATCACATAGTTAAAAGACAGTAACTATAAGCATTTAATTAGAAAGCAAATGATGTAATCAAAGCACTGGTAATACCAGTCATGAATTGCTGACTGCGCTTGCTTACTTCCAAGTGCATGAGATTAAAGTCTTTACGTACTTTGACTATATCCAGTTAGTGATTTTTATACCTGAGATGAAAATTGAGAGGTAAGAGAACTAGTTATGGTGTAAATAATTACCAGATGAAACCCAGCAAATATGTGAAGATAACTGCATTTTTAAAAATATATGCAGGAAGATCACAACTGACATTTCCCCCTTATAATTATTTTCATTTTGCTATTTAGACAAACACTTTAACTCACTTTAGGGTGTGACAGATTGTGTTCTGAAACTGCTTTAAAGGCTCCTGTGATTCTAATGCTTCAGTAATTCATGGAATTTTGAGTAGAAGCGATATCCTCTACTCCATAGTCTTAAGAAATTTAAGGCACCCATAAGAAGCAAACTTCATGGGAAGCTTCCATTCTAGGGAAAATAAATCTGATTTTCCCTTCAACAGAAAAAACTAATAATTGTGAATTCATAGAAGTGATTAGAATGCCACATTCTCTGTCAGTGAGGCAACAGCTTAGTGATATTCAGCTTAAATAAAACTCGATCTGAAGAGTTACTACTGAAGCCACAGAATCTTCACTAACAGATTACAAAATACGCCATATTGTGACAGAAGGGAAAGTTTGTATTAAAATTCTGAAAAAGCTACAACGTAGAAGCAGAGCAAGGTTGGGCCCCGTGTAATGATGAAAGAAAATAAAGGAGAAACATTTTTCTGTAGTAAATACACTTAATTTATATAGCGAACTTGCAAGTTTAATGGATCACTGTACAACAACAAGTGCAAATACATGATTTTGTGGGCAGGAGCACTGCTGAAGAAGCATTATTATGTTTTCATCTGTATGGAATGACAATAAATCACTTCTTTGACGAACAGAAGTTTCATTCCATATGTCAGAAAACATATCTACGATTTATTACTAGAATCAGCTCAAAACACTTCCCATAATCACAAAGCTCAAGTAATATGTAGCCATTAGACACAAAGATATACAAGGTTTTGGTTACAATTGGGATTAGCTTCAGATTCTGAAGCTTAATTCTTTGCTTCTGCAGCTTCTTTATCATGCTTTTCCTTTGCTTTCTCTTTTTCTTCCAGTTTTTCTTCTTTTTGAAGCAGTGACATAATCTCAGCAACCTGACTGGTGCCAATATCAATATCTTCTTTGTCAATCAGTTCTACTACCTACATGAACATAAAATTACACTGAGACAGCATTTGGTTTTTACATGATTGAGGCATTCTCATACAAATTTAAGGACAAAAAAAGTCCATGAGAAAAAAAGGTCCAAGAGAAACAGCATTTTTTCTTAACAGAAAACACAAATTCAGACCACAACCAGTGCCTCAAACATATCCAGAGATTAAAAAAAGCTCAAATTTACAGCAAATGATCTAGAGCTTTTGACCTCAGTACATAACAACTCACATTTTAAAGCATTACTAAAACAGACTCGCTTATTAAATCTGTTCCATTGGAAAGCTTAGACTCAATACCTGCTGAAATCGCATTTAAGACAATACTTAGTTTATAGGCTTAACTTTATCAAAAAGAGTTACTATACTAAATAAGCACAAATATATTAAAACTTAGAAGTATGGGGGAGTAAGCCTTTCAGAAAGTAAAATGAAAAAATAATTTAGCAGGTGATTCCAAATTCCTTTATATAGCTTTGTGTACAAAAGTATTCTTGGCATAGGTCTTTTGAGTTCCTAGAACTATTCTGCACTGTATGTCAAATTCAGAAGTACATTTCACCTGTGTTGCTAAATGTACAACGGCTGTTTAGAGCAACAGGGAAGATAATCGCCATGGGGACAACTTCAGTAGAGAGGAAAAAATTGTTTCAAAAGGCTGACACTGTATTTTCTAGCTGGCCATAGTTTAAGCACTATTTCTATATTGAGTAGGACAATTACTTCTAAAGATGTAACTTTCAGGACATCTCAAAATTTACCCAAATAAAAAAAGAAACATGAAAATGAAGGAGAAGGAGGGAAACCCTGAGAATGTTCTGCAAAACAAGGAAACAGGACAAATTTGGCAAAGAACATGGCTCATTTACAAGGGACCTAAAGGACAACTGATGGTTTGATGTCTTTCAGGCACAGGAGATACAGGTCTCAATGAAGTACCTGAGTTACACAGGTGGGCAAGAGAAGTTATTACCCTGTGTTGACATGAAGTGTATTTATACGCATCATGTCAAGACTTTGGCTCACAGCGGTACTCCTAAAGGAGTTCTTCTAAAGCTCCTTCCCATCCTCCCGTCCATTCACAGGCAGCACAACAAGATTACAGTATTTTACGAACGTGACAGAGGCCCACAGGAAAACCTACACCTTTAAAGGTAATGTGGGGAACAGACATAGAATCAAGATTCCCTCCCTTCAAAAGCCCAGCTATACTTGAAGATGCTAATAAGCACTATAAAATCTATTTACAATACGTTACCAAAAACCTCACTGGCATCAAGTGAAGACTCTTGCAAAAAAATGGCTGTATGAATTTAAGTCAAAACAGGCACAGCCTTTGAAGTATGGCTAGCTCTGTTTTGGTTAAGCAGTCCAGAGACTTACCTTAACAACATTATCTATATCAATTTTGCCATCCTTGTTTTCATCTAGCGCCTCTGCAATCCTAATTAGCTTCTCCTCTGGAATCTTCTGAATTTGTTTCATCGCATTAATTAGCTCAGCAATACTGATGAGATTCCCCCTGAAGAGAAAGCACAATCTGTACACGGCAAGCAGTTACTCCAAAGGAGTCAAGGTAACAAGAGGCACGACTGAAGGTCACTATAACTGCAGGTAATTTGTAAAAACATTCATTATCTATTTATAATCCCAAACAGAATGCAAAAAAAGCAAAAATGAGTTACTGATCAGCAAGCAGGGTTTCAAATTAATCTTTATCTTTTACCACTGAAACTCCCACTTTTGGTTTCCACGCACTTTCCTGCACAAATACAGGTATCCAGCACCTGAAATGGTTTAGCACAGTGTCTGTGCTTCCCAGACTGTGCATCTAACACCCTTTGCATCCCTGCCACATTGACTAGAGACGCAGTACCACGCGCCTGCCTGCCTTTCAGACCGAGAGCTAATCGCTTTAGCAATTTAGCTCTTTCATTAAAATAGGCTTCCTGTAAAGCAAAAGACTTTGAAGAATCATAGAATGGCAAAGAATCATAGAATGGCATAGTCTGGAAGGGACCTTAGAGATCATCTAGTCCAACCTCCCTGTCATGGGCAGGGACGCCACCTCTCGACTAGACCAGGCAACACATGGGGACCGAGCGGGAATCGAACACACAACCTCGGTGTTGTCATCGTCAGCACCGCGCTCAAACCACTGAGCTAACCGGAAGAATACACTATAACTTGACACAGTGACTAGGAGGTTTTAGATGTTTCCACTGTCTGCTCACTGATCTCAGGAAGCTGAAGCTGTCTGTCTTCTGCAGCCCCAAACAGCTGCTGCCTACGTCCTCGACCTCTAGGCACAGACCGATTTTTATTCAAGGAGCATTTCTCAAGCTGCCACTAAATGTCCTGGATTTGTGCCATTTCTATGACTTGACAGCTTGATAACAATCACACCAACTCAAAGGCTAAAAATCAAGTCTTTCACAATTAAGCCACATTTAAACTAATAATTTTCATCTTCCACAATCACCTGCAAAATTATCCACAAAACCACCCACTATGCAAAGTATAATTACAAGTAGATTCTATATTGTATTTTTATTTTACAAATTCGTGTGGTTTTGATCAACAACTTCTTTATAGCACCATTCCTGTGGCTGCCTTAATCTTATTGCACATTTGAAATGAATGACCACTTGCTCCGGAGACTGGAAAAACCCCAAAGTTTGGAAGCAACAAAAGCAGAATCCTTGTTTCTGTTAAGGTTATGCTCTATGAGAGCTGGGAAGCTCTCTTAATGAATCACACAAAATGGTGCAAGCATAAACGAGAATAATACAGCGTTCATAATCACAAACTGTGAGAATCAGTGTCACAGATTTTAGGTATTTCAGTGCCTGTAACATGCAATATACGACCATCCAACATATGGCACCTGAAAGATGCTCTAGTAACCTTAGGACCTGGATAAGTGTTGATAAATTAATGTTGCAATGGAACTATCAAGAAACATCTTTCTTTGAAAATCTGCAAGTGTGTCAAAGTTGAAAGGAAGCAAATTTTCAGAAAGGGACCATGTAAAATGATCTCCTTACTTCCATTTGACCTGTTTTCCCCATTTCTTTCTAGAGATTTCAGTAAAGTCTATTCTCTCTTTCTCCTCACTGACATCTTCACTACTAAAGAACAAACTTGAACACGCTTACCACACTGTTGCACACCTTTATAACCACACAGGGCAACCCTGCTGGGTGAGGAGCATGACTAAAGGCATCGTTTCCCCTGCACCACCATCAGAACTAGAGGTGTGAACAAGATGGTAAGATACTAATCGATGCTTTGACTTTGACAATCCCCCCAAGACTAACATCTGGGAGATTATACCTGCCTTCTTCCTTTTTGATACTTCAATCATATTTAACATACCTTAAGAAGAGAGAAAATCTACAGCACAATTCTGTTAATTTTATTTTAAAAATACATTATCTTAACACTCAATTTATTTGCTAATCCTTTTGCAACAGGATGAGGGGTAATGGTTTTAAACTAAAAGAAGGTAGATTCAGACTGGGTTTAAGGAAGAAATTTTTTACTTAGAGGATGATGAAACACTGGAACAGGTTGCCTGGGGAGGTGGTGGAGGCCCCATCCCTGGAGATATTCAAGGTCGGGTTTGATGGGGCTCTGAGCAACCTGATCTGATTAAAGATGTCTCTGCTCACTGCAGGGCAGTCGGACTAGACGACCTCTAAAGATCCCTTCCAACCCAATGCACTCTATTCTGTTCTTATTTCTTTTCTAATCACACATCAGACAAAAGTGAAATTGAAGATAAACAGCCAAAGACACATTCAGTGCTCTCAAGTCACTTACCCAGCAGGAGGACTATCGCCACTGTCCAGCTTGACATCCACCGTCTTTTGATTTGTTTCCAATTCATTAATAATTTTGTCTATCTGACCAATCATTCGGTTCACCCTCTTGGTCAATCGCTTGCTTGCCTTTGACTCTTCTACTGCCTCTTCCTCACCAGTTTTAGAGAGCTCTTTGATCTCTTGCAAATCCTAAGATTCAAGACAGAGAAAACTTTTGTCAGTCCAGCCCCTAGCATTCTGTGATTCTGTGTGAATTCTCACCACCAGACACAACTGACTGCAGCCAGCATTTTAAGACAGGAGCCATTTGTAAATGACGTGCAAAAGTGTAGACACACAAAGGCAAATTGGAATTAGAAAAATAAATTGTAACAATGGTGCCTTTTTCATTCACTCCCTTAAATGTTATTTTCCACATATATCATAAGATTCACTTTACTTGAAGGACTTGGGGGTGGATGAAAAACTGAGTGTGAGCCGGCAATGCTCACACAGACCTGCTCAAGCAAGGACCAGAGAAGGCCACAAAGATGATCAGGGGGTTGGAGCACCTGCCTTAGGAGGACAGGCGGAGAGTTGGGGTTGTTCAGTCTGGAGAAGAGAAGGCTCCAGGCAGACCCTATTGCAGCCTTCCAGTACCTGAGGGGGCTACAGGAAAGAAGGGGAGTGTAGTGATGGGATGAAGCGTAATGGTTTCAAATTGAAATAGGGTAGGTTTAGAGTAGATATTAAGAAGATATTCTTTACTTGGAGGGCAGTGAGGCACTGGAACAGGTTGCCTAGAGAAGCTGTGGAAGCTTCCTCCCTGGAAGTGTTCAAAGCCAGGGTGGACGGGGCTTTTGAGCAATCTGGTGGGAGATGTCCCTGCCCAGTGGCGAGGTGGTGGGAACAAGATGAACTTTAAGGTCCCTTCCAACCCAAACCATTCTGGGGTTCTAAGTATCTGTAACACTGACATCTATGCTTGCTAAGAAGGAACTGCAGCAAGCAGCAGTTAGCCAGCACTTGGTAAGTCTGTTCTGGGAATAAGAGCAGGAACAGGATTCTCAGCTGGTGGGAACTACTCCAGTGATTTTAGCTAGGCTTTAAGCATGTTATAGAAATGAGGTTCTGCATTGCCCCATACAAAGTTCCTTCACTCAGTTACCAACTACAGGCTAAGAGACAACCAAGCAAAATAATCTTTAAATTCATGGATCGTTTCATGAACAGAAATAAATAAAAAAACCCCTAAATCCAAAAAACTTCCACATCCCATTGCTCACCTCACTATACTCCTGGATATCACCCTTCAATTCCTCGAGCTCCTCCTTTTCCTTTGTAAGTGATTTTTTCTGTTCCTGCAGCTTGGTGCAAGCATCACTCAGCATGTCAATCTCCTCCTTAGTGATTTCCTCACCCTGTAACAGAAAATATATACAAATTAGTGAAAGGCACATTTGTGAATTTCCTCAAAGATTCCAGGTCTTCCACCAGGAAAGACAGACTCAAGATTCTTTTCCCTGTATTCAGAGACAATATTCTCATAGACATTCTGAGGCTAACACAGAGATCTGAATTTTGAGGCTAATGCAAAGATCTTAAATGCTAAAGCAATTAGTTTGCTATGGTATATATATTTTTTAAGGACACCACTAGTAAGTTCAGCTCATGTGATTCATTATGTGTGTTTTGGCTGTTTGAAATTCTGTACCTAACTGTCTCATTTAAGAATGTTTTACTTCCTTCTTTGCTGGGTGAAAAACCCAAACGAATGAGAAATGATTCACTATTCATTATGTGCGGGAAAGATAAACAAAAAAAGTGTGCAGAGCAAAGTTCAGGAAGTTGAGTTTGAGCAAAGTTGTCTTCAACATCTGTGACAATGAGGAGGAACAGCCATAGTTTGTGAAGTATACCCGTCTCTTGAAAAGCTGAGAATAAAAATCTAACCGCCAAGTGAATACTTAAAAACCCTAAGATTTCAAGTTGATCCATTAAAAATGCGAAAACCTCATACTACCTAGCTACAGTTTGCACATTAAAACTTACCCAGACACCAGCTTTTATTTTGAATTGCTAAATTCTGAACAGCCACATGAGTACAAAAAGACATGTGCAAACAAGGATACCAGAAACACAGAGCAGGATTATATGCTTCCAAGAAACAACTGCGGAACAGTTCAGAAACAGGCATCCAGCCCCTTCGACAACTCGGAAAGTGTTTCAGTGTACCGTTAGTATCTAGCCATCAACTTCACTTCTGATTTTAATAAAACAACTAATAGCTCATCTCAGGGAAAAAGAAAAAAAAAAAGAAAAGCAACTCAGTTTGAAAACAAATTCCCCTGCCTCAAATAAAATCAGTCATCTCCAAGAAGCTGGCAGTCCTACATTTTTCTCCAAGAGGCAAGAATGTATTCCATGGTATTTAAAACCTTTGGAAGCATCTTTAGGGAACAAGCCACGCTGCAACCTTGGTTAAGAAATGTTACACTGACTTTACTCCTTGTTTTCTCTTTGTTTTATCTTATTATCAGTTAGAGGTGTGGAAGAAGCCTTGCTTGTGGCCTGGTGCCTGCCTCTCTCTGACGCATTCCTCACAGCTGCGCTGTCACACAGCCAGCTCACTCCTCACGCAACGATGCACAATTTCAATGTGGGCTAGTTCCACTTCGTTACTACCATTAAAACTCTCTTGGCTGCATTCTGAAGTAAACAATGTTATAATAATAGCAGGTAGATCATGATGCTGTCCAGGAAAAGTGAAAATATTTTTCTACTTAAAACACTGTTGCAGTTTAACCCCATCCCGGAACACAGAGCTGCTGACTCATGCCTCCCCCTGTGCTGGTAGGTTGGGGCGGAGAATCAGGAACAAAAAAAAAAAAGTAAAACTTGGTGGTTTAGGTAAGAACAGTTTAATAATTGAAATAAAATTAATGAATAAATAACTAAAAAAATGTTATAAAAAGAAAGATAACAAAAAGAGAAATCAAACCCAAGAAAGAGAAGCAATGCACAGTACAATTGCTCACCACCCACTGAGCAACATCCAGCCAGCTCCCGAGCAGTGAACAGCCCTTCCCAGCCAACTCCCTCTAGTTTCTATACTGGGCAAGATGTCCCACGATATGGAATATCCCTTCTAGGTCTGTCCCGGCCATGCTGCCTCCCAACCTCTTGTGCACCTCCTCTCGGGCAGAGCATGGGAAACTGAGAAATCCTTGACTTAGGATAAGCACTACTTAGCAACAACAAAAACATCAGAGTGTAATCAACATTGTCCTCACACTAAATGCAAAACACAGCACCATGACGGCTACTTGGAAGAAAATTAACTCTATCTCAACAAAAAAAACCAACAAAACAGGATAAACATCCATTTGAAATTAATGTTGTTATTCCGCAAATGAACGCTGGGGAAAAAAATCCTGACTTCAAACCTCACAGACAAAAAGAAAATGCTCAGCTACAAATAAAACTCAAGCTACAACTGAAAACATGAGAGGGAAGCATACAAAATGTGGGAGCGGGGACAGGATGGATACAGAGACACTGTCCCAGCACGAATGGATGGCTTCAGGAAAGCCAAAGTCCACCTGGAGTTAAATCGGGGGAAGGACATGAAGGGCAACAAGAAGGGCTTTTAGAAGTACATCAGGAGCAAAAGGAAGACAAGAGAAAACGTGGGCCTGCTGCTGAATAGGACAGTGAACCTGGTGCAGAAGGACATCGAAAAGGCAGAGGCAGTCAATGCCTTCCTCAGTCTGTACTGTAAGACTGGCCTTGAGGAATCCCAGGTGTCTGAGACCCATGGGGAAGTCTGAAGCAAGGAAGATCTACAATCAGTGGAGGAGGATCAGGTTAGAGAACATTTAAACAAACTGAACACACACAAGTCTGTGAGATTAATGGGCTACACCCACAAGTGCTGGGGGAGCTGTTTGATATCATTGAGAGGCCACTCTCCATTATCTCTGACAGGACATGATCATCAGGGAAGACTCCTGAGAACAGTAAGAAAGCAGATGTTCCTCCTATCTCCAGTAACAGCAAGGAGGAGAATCTGGAGAGCTAGAGGCCAGGCAGGTAGCAAATGATTAAAACCAGCACGCTCCGACTGTAACAAAGCATGCTCTAATCACAATAAAGCACGTTAATCCTACAAATGAATCTATTCCTGTAACAGTGGCATATATTATTTTTTAAGTATGATAATGAACATAATGGAAGAGTACAGTAAAGTTTTTAGTGTGTACACACACTGCCTGAATCAGTTTAGAAAAAGATGTTGATACAAATCTAGTACATTCTAGTCCAAATCTAGTCCCTTACTTAATCCTTTGGTTTTAACTACACCCTTCCACAGGGAACATTCATCTTTACCTACTCTTGCCCTCTCCCTCCTCCTGTGCTAAGTATGCACAGATTAAAGGTGCACAGATTACATCTACAGCTGGTGGAAATGCACCCCAAAAAAGGTATATTAGTTTCAATAACACAGATGTGTAAAGGAGATATTCAGAGATGTTTTGTGCTGACCTCGATATCTGCACTGGGGATAAAGAATTTGCAATCTACTAATTAGCTGGTTTTTAACTGACCGAATGTGGTGAGAGGGACAAAACAAAGGACAACCAGGCAACTTATCATGGCTCTTCCATGGATGTTTTGAATCTTTACACCAAAAACTACAAAAATGTGCAGTTACCCAAATTACCTTAATGCCTTCCAGTACTGGTGCTGTATCTTTCAGTGTCTCCGAGTGCATCACCACATCAGCCCTTGCCAGTTCTTGTTCAGTATCCAGAGCTATCTGACTTTTTTTAACTTGCAGAGCAGCTGCTTCAAGATCTACTGCTGATTCCACATCTTTCTAAATTTGAAAGACCCATTAAGTTTTAATTAAAACAAAGATGACATTATCTGTAGTGGCATCAGTAAAGAATGACTTCTCAAAATAGAAATAGTTGCCAAAGTAGACAAAGACATTTTAATAATATGTTGAAAACCCACAACATATTGAGTGGTTTCACATTAAAATACCCGCTTGCACTTCTGAACTGTGCCTGTGAGCTCCTGCAGGCCAGCAGCATTTATAGTCAAGTATTATACAGTCATTATCAGGTTAATGACAAATAGAAAGAGCCAATGATAAGAACATTTACAGTACAGGGTGGGGGAAATAACACATCAAAAGCACCACCTTTGCTACACAAACAAAAGGCTTCTCTTATTACTCTAGTTAAGAGTAAAGGGAAATCAAAGATACAGAAGACTGACACAATCTTTTATGCTTCCAGTGAACCCCTCTTTGCTGCAGTCTGTTTTAGTATTCTCCCACATCTTCCATATGTGGATTTAAAGTCCAGTTTCTTGCAGACCAGTGCAGAGACACTAACTCCTAACACGCCAGTTTTCACATCACTGACACTTATTTCTCAATATTTGCGAGCAGAACTTACCACGGCTGCAACCTGGAGGGTTTCTTTTGCTTTCTCTGCAGCTTCAGACAACCTTTCCATCTCTTTCTCTTCATTTTCTTTTCTGATGGCTTCCTCTTCATGAAGTGTTGCTTCCAGACGCGCTTTGTTATCTACTTTTTCACCTTCAACTTCTGCCACTTTGACCTGAGCCTCTTTGGCCTAAAAATAATGTAAGAAGTCTATTAAAATCTGTACGTGTCTATATATGTACGTCTACACAATGTGAGAAGTTTATATATCCTTACTGAAATATGTAGTACAGGTATGCTAATGAATATAGTTAAAAAACCCCAAAGTTACCCTATTTTTGCATTTCTCAGAAAACGATGATTCTCCTTCTTTGAAAACAGGAAGTTACCACCCTGAAACCATACATATTCTCCATTCTCTCTCTCTCAAGAGTACCAATAATCTACCCAGATAATTTCTCTCTACATAGCAATATCAACATTTTCATGTATTACTGTCTTTATACAGCTCAAGCATAGATTTGTTTCTTATAAGTAAAAAGTGTATTCTAAATCTTTGTATGCTATTGCTGTCTAACATCACGGAATGAAATACTGCCTTTCATTTGCTTTATTCTCAAACCCTTTCTCATATAAGCCAAATTCTCCTGTATTTGAACTCAAATAATTACCTATGCAAGGTTTAACCTTCCTCTCAACAGAGTTTCAGCGATGGTACTGAAAGCTGGTTACAGACTAGGCACATCAATACTTACAGCACTCTCTGGTAATGTCTGAAGTGTTGTTTTGAGCTGATCAGCTGGAGAAAGAGTATCTGGAAGATACATGGCTCTGGACAAAATGAGCAACGATGTAGGAATTTCCTGGTTCAGGTGTAGATCTAACCACTAGAAATGCAATACATAAAAAGAAATCTTCAACTTTCAAATTTTCTCCTTTTTTTTACAGATCAAGTCAAGCATACACAAAAAAGTAAATAATTTAGTTTACTGTTATATATCAGGCAGTGTTCTAGCATGGAACTACAAGCAGTTAACAATTACAGCAAATGCACAAAAATACATGAAGAAGTACTTTCTTTGAAGAAATATTTCAACAAGTATTGAATGAATATCTGAAAATTTGTTTTACTTCACATGCATCTTCCACTAAACCAGGCAACACAAAAAGAGACAGAATTGAACTACTTGGAGAAAAGTTCTTTACAGAGCAATACAAATAATTAACAAGACAAACTGCCAAACTGCAAACACACTTTGGATATGTTTTAGTCTAAGTATCTGTCTGTATCATCAAAACATCAAGTCAAAAGCCAGAAGTGCACTGCTACTACACACTTACACAGTACATATGACAAAACATTATTAGGGGAAAAGACCATTCTAGTCATGCCTTTAACGAGAACAGAAGCAAAACAATGTCTCTGAATCATATAAAAAATCAGAGCCAGCAAATGAATTTAGGTCTGTGTATTCAGTCTTGCAAAAACCGTACCTGTTTAAGCTGCTCCTTGAGACGCTCCTCTGTCACGCCAAGAGCTCTCATGCCTCGGGCACGACAAGCTGCCTGCAGTTCTTTAACAGTCAGGCTATCGACTCCTTCTTCAGCAATCATCTACATGAAACATCAAATAAACTTTAACAGGTACAGCTCGAAACCGAAGAACCATCAATGCACATCCGCAGGTCTGCATTTTTACAACGGCCACTGGAGGCTGCTGTGACAACACAAAATAGCCTCCACTTTTTAATCAGGGAACACGATGCTGCAGTCTTAACAGCTCCACAGTGGTCAGGCCAGTCTCTCTAAGTCATTACTTCTATCAGCCTTATTACATATTACAGTTTCCTAGAAATGCTCTGCTTTGTAGCATAATTATTTTCATGGCAATCAATGGTATGTTAAAAACAGCTCAGCTTTTCCGTTACAAACAAGGACGTGCCAGGTTTTAAGCTCTTCAAGCCTCTTCATTCTAAGTTAGCTCAAAAATAAGACAATGAAGACAAGAAAGGAAAATGCCTAGAAAGACACATGCACACACACTCATTACTCTTACACACTGAAATTACTATCCAGTGCCCGTTTAGAATGACTCACTTTGTCATCTGCTTTTATGCTTCTCAACCTCATAGTCAGCTGGAAGCGGAGAAAATTATTTGTCCCGATTGACTGAAGTTCCAACAATTTACAAAGTGCCACCAACTGAGGCCTGGTTAGATTGTCCAGAGTCAACTCGTCTTCAAATAGTTTAGAGAATCTTAAGATCTCCTCATTACTGGGTCTTTCTCCAGTTTCCCTAATCTGTAAGAAAAAACAAACACATGCATAGTTTTTCAAAACAAATCTTACGGTTGAGTATTATTTTGAAAAATAAAAATATTCTCCTCATTTGTCATGGATTTTGTAGGAATTTTGGGATAGGAAATACAACACAAGGAAGACATAAAAGAAATTGAAAAATAAAACCAACACAAAAACCCTCCAACTTATTCACTATAAAAGGCAGAAGAATTTATGATGTTGGTAGCTTCCAACAACATTGCACAACATACAATAATTAACAATAATTAGATGCATCTGTATACTAATGACCAGGTCTGAGTCTGCATGACCATGAAATACCTCAAAAAAAAAATAATCTGAGTGAATAAATAGTTGCTACAGAAGTCACATGGGCAAGAATTTTTCTGTGACCATACTTACTAAACATAAAAGCACATTAAAAGCATCACCCAGTGAAAATAAAGTGCTAAGTACATCCAAAGGCAAAACTTTTGCAATGCTGGTGTCCCTATGAAATGTGCATTTGCACCCTTTCTCTCTACAACCACATTTGTTACAATACTGTTTCGCATCCAGTTCCTAACTGTTCCACAGCACCTCAATGGAAATGTACTTTTATTTCAAGTTATTCCAAAGTATAAACCACTATTTGTGAAACGACTCTGTGTCCTTCTTGATGGAAGCTTCTATGTAACTGCTTGCACAAATGCAAAGTTAAGCTTCTAAGCTATGTGCTGCCAAACACCACTTCACAGTAATTAAGTCCAAATACTGCAAGCAGAAATAACAGTTCAAAGTAGGGAAAAAAAGGAAGAAAAAAACCCAAACATTCTCGTGTCCCATCAGTTCATTATTACCTGTATAAATGTTGATTTTTTTATTTTAAGCATACCATCAAGTGCTTATGACTGTATACAAGATCTACAGAACTTAACAATGAAGTATTTCCCAGCCTTTTAACACCTCCAGTCTAAACTGTAAGATCGTAGATATCCAAAAAAACACCTTTCCCAATCCCTCTAATTTCTTTAAGCCCTGTGAAGAAAACATAAGCTAAGCAATGGCAAGTACAGCCCGAAAACCTAACATTACTTACACAACGTGACTGATTATGCCTACCTGTTTTACCTGCCAACTCAAATACTTTAGTGAACACCTACTGAGTACAAGAAAAGGTAAAAATCTGGAAGACAAGATGGTCTTGAGTCTATTTACCCCCAGGGTACTTGTGTAGCAGAGAAACGAACTCAGGAAGAAAGCTGAAAGGCCTTGTTGTTCTACTTCGCCAGCTCCTTCACTACAGGAGCCAAAAATGGAACATTAAAAATACAGCAATAATTTTGTCCTTGTTTAAAGCTGAATTTTGGCAGAGCCAAGTACACGTTTCTTGAGAAGTACAAACTGAAACTTTCTAAGTACATCACTAGCTACGACGCAACACAGATAAATTCTAGAATTCAACAGCAAATATGTTAAGCCTGTAATCAACGGTTCTTGCAGCATCAAATGCTTCATGGCAGAGGCAGCTATAAAATAGCAAAAAGGCAGAAAACATTTAAGTTTATTCTTAAGTTTATTCTGACATTTACTATCTAGTACAGTGATATGAGATCAATAAAGTCTGTCTTCATGGCACAAATGAGAAACCTATAGCTGTAAGAAGTACACCCACGTTAAGAAAGGCGAGGCTTGAAACTTCTTTTTAGTAAGAGGAACTTGGGACTTCCTCCAGCACATGTGGAGCCACAAGTCGGTTATTTCCCCAGAAATTAACCGCCAAAGGTAAATTCTCAGTAGCAGTTTTTTCAGAAGAAAACGAAATGTTCCAAACATGAAGCATGGCAGTGGCACGCTCCCCGCATCTGCAGCATCACTGCTTCGGCTACTAAGTGCTACAACTACTCATTTAAAACTTTCTGCACAAGAACAAGAACAGAAACAGATGATTGTATAGAAGCTTCAAAGTACGTGGACTTTGCAAGCAGACACCAACTGACAAAACTTGCCAATACCGTTATCTGAGTAACAAATACGGCACTACCAACACGATCTTATCACCTCACCCTTTCAAACTTTATTCTCAGCACAGACAAGCAGGAAAAACTCAAGCTAGGTGACTGGACTTGTGAAGTCGAGGTCTGAAACCCCCAGGCTTATCATGCCTTTTGCTACACAAATACATTCTCCCCTCAAAGGAGAGGATCGCACTCTGATGGTTGTTGGCTTGATCTCTTATTCAACAGCCCCACAATTAAGAGAAATCCAAGTTGGATGGAGCCTTGAGTATCCTGATCTAGTTGAGAGGCGTCCCTGCCCATGACAGGGAGGTTGGACTAGATGATCTCTAATGTCCCTTCCAGCCTAGGCCATTCTGTGATTCTATGAAATCGTAATTGGGCAGACTAAGATAAATCTCATCCTGAGATCATTTAAGAAGGTGGGGTTTCCATCTCTTCAGGGAACACCTTACCCTCACCTATACTTGGTGAAAGGAATGACTGTCAAACCTAAGGGCCATTGATGTAGCAGGCGGATATCTGACATTTAGTCTCTGTGTCAGCAACTCCTTGTGAATAGAAAAATGTTGCACCAAACGCAGCGCTCACGTGCTGCAAATCTGCACGTTACACCACGTTTCTAGTCAGTATCCAAAAGGATTTCAGCAATATATGAACTGTGCATTTAAAAGCTCTTTTTATAAGCAGAATTAAATTCTAAAAAAAAAAAAAGATTTACTTTTCCCCCACGAAGTACTAATCAGTTTATTAGGAAAGAACTCCTTTCTCTCTTTTTACACACAGTATTCAAAAAAGAAGTCAAAAACTACATGAGTAATGACTGAGCACATAATTAAAAAAATTAAGAAAATAAGAAAAGCAGAAATATACTGGTTCTAGAATCAGTGAAAATACCATCTAGAACAACAAGTAACAGTAAAACTCAAGCACACTGAAATATTACTTGCAAAAAAGAAATCTAAAAAAACCCATTACATCTTGCTTCTTCAAATCCAACACAACAAAGGTATCTGACGATTATCATAGAACGAACAAAACACCAAGCTATTTGTTTGGTTGGAAAAGAAAACAACATGTAAAAACATTTTACCTTTTGAAAGAATGTTGAAAAATCTTTTGTAACATTTCCTTTGGCTGCTTTATTCTTTAAGGCCATCTCCTCAATAGTGTCTTGAAGGAATTTAGCCAATTCAAGCTTTACTCTCAATTCTTTCTTCAATCTTTCCTCCTGTTAAAAAAATATTTGGTTTAAAAAGTTCTTTCGAGAAATACCCACACTAAATACCATTTCTTCTGCCCTCAGACAAGTTCTGTGCAGTACTCCTGAACCTCTGTTGTAATACCCACATGACAAGAGGACATTCATTCTTACCAAAGACCTCCAAATCACACTGAAAAATAGGATTATTAGCCCAAAGCTCCAGCAAGCACGAGATGCAATGCCAGAGTGAAGAGCAGCGTGAGTGGCCTCACCTGCTAAAACTAACACGCGGTCTCTGAATTAGTAATAAAAAGTAGAAACTAAGAAAAAGTAGAAACTAACAAAAGAGTAGAAACAAGCCAGCTGCTTTGAGTAAATCCCAACTCTTGGATCCAGCACAGAAATTCTATGCCACTTCTCATCCAAACAAAGAGGAATTTATCACAGAATTAGAAATTAATTGCGTACTTGGATCTAAGTAGTAATAACGATTGATTATATCTGTGACTATGTATGAACCTCGAGTCTTTCGTGCTCTTAAAGTGAGAACTTGTGGGGCTGTTTGATGTGTTTTTACAAACCTCTAAACAATGCCATGAAAACCTAAAAGAGATAGTTTAAACAAAACAATGCATCGTAAGCTATTTTAAATGTTAAGTATATATACACACAATTTTTCGTTGAGAATAACAACTCTAAGTGTTAAAGTCTGCCTACTTTAATACAAACTAGAAAAATAAAGTTTCTTAGTTTTAATTTCTGCATTTTAAGAGCCATAGAAAATTGAGTGAGAACTTACTGCCCAGACAGCTAAGCACCTGCAAATATAAAAAAGTAAACCAGCGTGGCACTGGTTCATTAGTACACGTTACCAGCAAGATCATCAAAACAATATAAAGATGACAAAAACATTCCCCAGTAGCAAAAAAAAATCTCATTTGTAGAATTTTTCTAATTTCTTTCTTTACTGAGGAAAGATACAATTTTTTCAAAATATATTACCGGATTATAAATTCAGACTTGCTCACCTTTTTAGACTTTGTCTCAAATGTAGAGGGAAGCATATTAGGGAACAACTTAAGAGCTACTGGAAGCAAAAATTCCATAAATGGGACAACAAGAAAAACTAAGAAAGGGACCAAGCGGAAAAGATCTGCACAGATTCGAAGAAACTGAAAGAAAAAAAAACACATTTATAAGCAAAATTTAAAATATTTATTTTAAAAATACTTTATATGACTATCCACATTATCACTTAAGCTCATACGTATTTATTTGCTACGAAGGAAATTTAAAATAACGTAGAAAAAGGATGTGACAAAGTCAGGTTTTAGTATCTTTTCTTCAAGTTGCTATATGCACCAGTTTTCCACACTATGGAAAGTATTTTAAAAGCCTCGCTGTGTCTCAATAGGATTATTGAACAAGTATCTCATTTAAACCTCTTAAAAGCACCTGAAAACAGGAGGTGGTCATTTGTTGTTGTTAAAGCTGCTTAACTTCTTTTATTCATCTTTATTTGTGCTCCACCACTTCTTGCATGCATGAACTACTATGGACTAAGTAATCAGGAATAAAGTGAAAGATCCCTCCCCCTCTGCCTTATAACAATTGTAATATACATTTAAATCTAGGGTAATGAGCCCAGCTTGGTAGATTCTTCTTAAAGTCGCTGCTTTTCTAGAGCAGTAATCCTCTGAAGCAGGCCGAGGCATTAGTTATTGAATCTTGTACTCAAAAGAATAAATATCGTCCTTCTGATTTCTGTACACCCACAAATGTATATATAAGGCTGTGCAGTCTACAACCAAATCTTTCGGTATTTGTTGGAAGCTTAATAACTTGGTTTATTGGGAAGCGCAGATCTTGCTGACTCTACGTCATTTTACAAAGCAAGTAAGTGGTGATTGGGAATCCTGTCAGTTCCTAAACCAGAGACTTGAAGGTCAGACTACACTACTGCCACATTCAGCACTGTGGTTTGATAACCACAGCTACGATTTGCAAAAACTGGCAACACGAAGGCTCTTACAGAAGTAAACACATGCTTTCCCTCCACCCCCTCCCCACAGCTCACGCCAATCCAGGGGAAGAGCAGCAACCACCAGCACAGATCGCATGTCACGACACTGCTCTGCTAGAATACAAAACCAGGAAAACTTTGACTGTCATTTTCTCAGCATAAACCAAGCCAAAATCTTAAATCCTGTTTGAGGAATGCACAAACTCCCCAGATCCAAGATTTTTCTTTGTAAATAAAAAATTTGTTTTCCCACAAGGGATGCTTTGGTCCATTGTTTACAGGCTCAAAGATTTTTCCATTCATTCCAACAACAGAAGATAAATGACTACTAGGGAGTTCGAAAAGATGGAAAAAAGTTTGGGAGAAAATTTTAAAAGTCAGAAGAACAAGTACATTTTCCCTTAAAAGAAGAAACTCAACAATTTCTATGGAGTGCAGTATAGTGTTCCTATTTCTAGTCACTCTCTATTTTTAGACACTGTGTGCAAGTATTTGCACAAGACAAAATGCATATCGAAGGAAGCAGTTTTACAAATGGATTAAGCTAACCTAATGCTAATGTGACACAACATATAGTCACGAGTGTGCACTACCAGTCACAATGTGAAGGTGCACCACTGACACCCCTAAAACTAACCTATAAATGCATACTCAGACAAGGACAAGTCAAAAGGGGGAGGGGCGGCTGGGAGGTGTTAGAAAAGTTGCTTTAAGCACCACGCAGGACTGGCCTTTTTCACAGGAACACTGTCTGGGATCAGCTTACAAAAATCACAAACAGCACCCTCTGTGAGCTCAGGGAAAACAACCTTGCACAGGAACCTAATACAATGGTGCCTGATTACAGACACATTATTTGGCAGCACAGCCCAAAAAACTCGAGACTACTCTGTATCTGCCGCGACACTGCACGTATTCCAACTTTTCCCTCTGCAGGGCTGAAGAGTTTGCAAAGCTGATACTCGCCACAAACTCCATTGTGCTTGCCATCTCACTTCCACGTCCTTGAAGCATCCTGCTGCAGGAGGCAGCACTCCAGCAATTCGTTTTTAACAGCCAGTATCGTATTTTGCACATTTTACTTTTTCCTGCCTTCTCTCCTAAGTGTGGATATGTGATCCTGTTGAATCCAAAGCCTACCAGCAACTGTAAAAGCAGAATTTTGGAACTGACTTTCGGTTTACATAAGCAATAGCTCCCTCGTATTAGCCATGCTGCAATTGCTTGTTAATGTGGTTAGATTGCTTGGATATCTTTCCATTATTGCCTTCAAAGAGGAAGGAAAGGGCAGGCAGAAATAATTCATTTGTCAGTCTATGTGAAGATAAGATTTCTCTAGGACTGTCAGTTCATATGCAGTTTAATACATTTAAAGCAGTATGTAGTTTAAATACAAATATTTTTTTGAAGTGCAGGAGCAACTTTTGCAACTCTGTAGCTAACTTTGCATCAAAGTTTTAAGACTTCTTTAAAACAGTCAGTAGATCACAATTTAAGGCTGAAATGTGTTGAAACAAATTTAAAATAAGGTTTTATAAAAAGCACAATAAAGGATTATATTCAGGTTTGGCTGGTTTGCTTTTCACTGATCCTGGGTTCTAAGCCTGTCCATGACTTCATTCAAGAGACAAGAAGTCATCTATCTCCACATAAAAACTAGAAAACCTTACCGTAGGTCTTGAAACTATTTCCTCTACATCTTCTACACTAGATTACACACATGTATCAGTAGATAAGACAGGTTACATCAATGTAAACAGTAATTTATACCTGCCAAATGAATTTCTATTTTATTTAAAATAAGGGAATTGATACTAAAATCACACATCTACATGCCAAAAAGAAAAAAAAAAGAAAAAAAAAAAGAACAACAACAACAAAAAACCTCGGGACAGCCAAATGCCAGACCACTATGTTCACATGAGAAAGACAGTTCTATCATCACTAGACGACAAAGCTAAAATGAACAAATCCATCTACTGATGGAATAATGCATGTGTGTCCAAAGATAACGTATTACTTCTCAAGGTTCATGCCTTCTAGACTACAGTCCTGATCTTTCAGCAGAAATATTTCCCCGATAGCCATACTTCCCTGTTGCTTGTACAATTTCTCAGAAGTCTGGCTTAGTGAATGTGACACAGGCAAGAAAACCAATGGTTCCCATATTGCCCTCTGGATGATTTCTGAATCAGTTTCATACCATGAATTAGTCTCACTTGGTCTTCCAAGTTTCCTAAAGCTCTCAATAAGCCAACGCAAGCCAGAAGTGCTCCTTCAAGAAGTCCTCCAGTCCTCATTCCCCCTTATCCTCCCTTACACTGTATAATCCCCTGCCTTGCATCAGCATATACTTGTTGCATTTATTGCTGAGCAATGTTTCAGCTGGAGCAGCTGCCAAGTACACTCCTAAACAAAGGCAAAAAAAGTAGCATGAAGACGCTGAGACCAAATATCAACCAGTGCTGTTGCAGAAAGAGACTCAGTGTAAGCACAGATGAAAACTGCTATGCGTGCATTTAGTAGTTTTTGTTATTTGTCTCATCTTGCAAATATAGGAAAAAAAATCTTCTGCATGCTGCCTTAAGATGTGACGGTTTCTAATTACACATGAAAATGCTCAATTAGGTACCTAATTTTATCAGGACATGATTAAAATAATGAACAAACACTCCTATTTTTGATTATTTAACAAAAATACTGAAGGCAGAACACACCATGTATACAGTGCTACAGTGCACAAACTGCAGAGAACCGAGCCGTGATTCCAAGCAGCACTCTTTGCTCATGGTGCCAGAGCACATGCACTTTCCACTCTCAACCATTTTTTCCACCATAATTTTTTTTTTCCCCTCAGTAACAGTTAAAATGCTTTTGGTAAAAAAAAAAAAAAAGGCTGGAAGACAGACTTGAATATTTTAGCTGTATAAACTGCTTAAACATATTATCTTTAAAAACAGTAAAATGAGAATTACTAAATCAGCTCTTGTTGATTGATATAGTGCTAATGAACTGATGAAGATAAACGTATTTGTCACCGAGATAGTCCTAGTATCTGATTAACAGTGATGCATTTCAGTCTGAAACTTTTCTTCTGTTTAAAGAAAAATGACAACAACCCACAAACGAACCACCCATAACAGAATTAGCACAAATTCAACCTTTACTAGAAGTGCTTTCCCTCTCCTTCCCCAGTTGGAGTGAAAAAGCAGAAGGGACCATGTGTACACATGGAGCACACGGACATGGAGGACAAACCACAACGGCTATCCGCACAACGACACAGAAGAATCCTCCACTGTTCAAACAAGAAATTACCAAATTTCTCTTCAACAATGGGAAATAAGGCTAAAATGTTTTGGAGTCCTATCCAAAATTTTTAGTGTCCACATAGGAAGGAGGGAAATTGACTCAGCAATTCTAATTTTAGGAAGAGAAGGCAACAGAAGGAACCAACTTGAAGCAATCGCTAAGGATGTTCAAACTGGCATTTACTCAGTACCTGTCTCCGTTCTCGGCGAGACAAAGTGTTTCCATGAAGTATTCGCCAGAGCATCCTTGCAGCTATTTTTGTGTCAATCCACAGCAATCGAAAACCATGGTAATAGTGCTTCAGTTCGTCCACGATCCTCTGTCCAATTGATTTTTTCACAACTTCTACTTCTGTTGGACTATATACAGGACCTCCTTCTTCCAACTTCTTGGTTTTGTCCTTTAAGGACTTCAGTGACTTTTCAACTATGGAGTCATCCCGAAGAGGATGTGAAGAATGCCACCATCTAACTGGAAGATACTGGGGACCTAAAACACCCATGGTTGCTAGTGGCGTCCATGAGCCAGAATTGCTCGTAAGAGTAAAGTATATTTGTTCAGATCCTTTAGTCCAACAACAGTAGCGATCTTTTTTGGAGTATGCGTAAACAGGAGGGACGTTAGTGCAACATTTAAAGTGTACAGTCCTTCAAAAGAAAAAAGAATGCAATAATTAGCAATAGATCATAAGCGATTTCTATGTTTGTATATATTTGTATAAATACATAAATTTACATATTTATAAAATGTATCGTTTGAGAAATATCCACGGCACATTTAAGGATAAAAAACCAAACTTGTGACCCTGAAGATCAACGTCTGTTCCTGAAAAGAATGCTTGGCTTTATTTCATGACAAAAAAAAATAACCTGCAGGAAATTTTCCATCACACAACTTGGAAAAAGTAGCTTACTTCAGTTAAATAATGAATAGCAACCAGATATGCTTTCCATCTAGAAAGTTGCATTTGAAAGTGAATTTGTAAATCTGAAAGTAATGTAAAGTGCCTTCTATTACGTCTCCTGTTTGAACAAAACACTTGAGAGAAAAAATAGAAGTTGTATACTTAGGAAAGGTGCGGAGTTAGAGGAAGAGAATTAGTACTAGTGAAATCCAACTTAATCAGTTTCTCTGTTACTATTTCCATGCACCTAGTATTCCTTTTTCAGCACAAACTTGCACAAAATTCCGTCACGATACTGAGCTGGGGCACACAGAATCAACACTTCTCTACCTTATTCAGAATTTTGTTCTTTTCTTTAATTACATGTAAACTGAAGTTAGAAGGACAGCATTGCTCAAACAACCCAAACACTCATTATACACACAGAAGAATTACTCATCATATGCAAGTAGGATTGTATACACTTTTATAAAATGATATGATAAAATTAAAACAGTACGTAAAACATTTTATATAAACGAGTTCCAGTTATTGAACACTTCTAAGTATTACGCTCACTCAATTTTCAACCAGAAGTACTTTTTAAACTTAATTATCACATGCATCCAGTGAATGTTAAATTACTTTAATGGGTTCATATATTTAATGTTATTCAAAGAGTGCTTTGTATAAAAAAAATATTATTAGTTTTTAAAGACACATTATTTTCTAGCGTAAACTAAATTTTAAGCATCTGACTATTCAATGGTTAGATGACCGCTGAAACATACACAGCCACACAAAATATTCTCTAGATTAGCTAGAAAACTACACACTTGCACAGATATTAACTAAAGAGAATGACAGTTGCTTTAAGGAAATAAAGTACTTAGTCAAAACCAGATTAAAACACTTGCATAAATCAATCCATCTTGACTCTGAATCATTTACCAAAAGCAGAGCTCCAGGCATATAGACCAAATTCCACCTACATACATCTACATTCTTCTGTATGCAGAGGAAAGGAGCTCTGCCAGCAGAACTTGGTCTGAGTCTGCAGGGAAAGAAATGTGCCTCTCTGAATGCACTTTCACAAGCAGGGATGTCAGGCCCAAAACTTCTATGCCAAGATGTCCTCAGTCCTTGCTTTTGGATCCAGGTCATGTGGGGTGTGGGCACTAGTTTGTTTTATTTTAAGCAGCAACATTACATTAACAGCAGCTTTTGGTAAAAAAAAAAAAATCAACAAGAAAACCACCAAAAAAAAACCCCAAACACTTTTCAAAGTAATAACAAGAACTGCTGTCCCAATATTCTGCTGCTCATATAACAGACTTTAAATTGTAAGTTTCCAGTTTTCAAGAGGGCCCATATAATAATCTCTTAAAAAGTAAGCAGAGATTTTAACATGTTTTACATATTAAAAAACCTCTCATAACTAATTATACAGTGATATAGAACTAACATGACTAAAAAGAAAGGAACTAGTTTGTTTCATATTAGAGAGTTATGTCTAGAGACACACCCTTATGTTAAAATGGAAAATAGGAAACTGAAGAATAGTCGCTGTTTCCTGAGCAGTTAGACTGTAAATGAACCAGAGAATACATATATTAGTATTCCAAGGAAAAGTGTTAGGAAATTCATACCCACAAATATGCCTTGTGAGCCAAGACAAGAACAGAGAATGGATTCTGCTAACGCCCAACTCCTTAAGCTCCGTAAGAGCACACTGCAGCTGGATTCATTTTCAGAAGAGGGTATCATCTCCTAGGAAAGTCTCACCCAAGGCTGCAACACACAGTAAACTGCTTTGGTTTAATAGAGATACGACTCATCTACATTCCTAGCCGTCAACTACGTTTTTCAAACTAGCTGTGACTGAATGTTTATTCTACGGAACTCCACAAAGTATGCAAGAAGCCCATGATATCCTGTGATGCCACATGGAATCGCTCAAGATTAACATTCTATCGCTCTCACATCTTAAGTGGAACGAAATGGGAGGAAGTAGGCAGAAAAAAGGAAGATCTTGCTTTCTTTCACCCACACACAACCAAGCAGGTGAAGAGATTAATACTCAGACTTGCTTTAATCTGTCATAAACGCAAGCTGAAGCTAGGATTTTCACACTTTGTCTGGAAGCTTTAAACCTACGTTTGATGACAGTATACTAGCTGCTGATTTTGTACAGTTTTGAGTTTAGAAAACAAGCCGATGTTTACTCACATTTTGTTTGCCAGCCTCAGGGATGTACAGCTAAGACATGCCCGATCTCCTAAGTTACCTAGGAAAATATCAATAGTTAGCATTAATTCTGAAATTCAGGAAGACATTTATCCATATAGCGAATTGTACAAAACACGTGATTTAAAACATTGACCTTTGCTTAGGAATGGCTGTACTGAAAGCACAAAAAAGATGTCGCTTAGCAGCAACTTCGTTATGTCACACTGTAACCACATTCACACTCGGAATGCATCACAGTCAAGACTGAATTTTTTTTGCTTTGACAATAACCATGTGAAGTACTGAGACCCAAATATCTCACTGTATTCTAACATAAGTCAAAGTGCATGCCTGGTTGTTCATATTTCTCTCAACCTGTAACCCAAATGTATAGGATAAAAAAGGGAAAACAGGTGGGCAGCAACTCTGTAATGGGGCTGATGTCTCCATAAGCTTCCAAGCAAACCGTGGACACGTGAGGTACTGCTTGCACTTGTTCAGTGGCCTGAAGACAGGTTTCCACATCCCTCAAACAAGCAACTACATTGCAGAAAAACTTCACTGAAAGCAAACGTAATTTTTGAATGGCTCCATGACAACACAGTATTAGATGATCTACATGGAGCGCTTGCCAAGTGTCCAGAATAAAAATGGGGGGGTTTTTTTAAGCAAGATAACAAATAAAAGACGATTAGGAACATAAACACACTTCACTAGAGAGGTGGAAGCACACCACCTGTCTATTTTGATTAGCACCTGGTAAAAATAGCTCTGCCCCCAAATCTGTCTGCAAAGGATACAAATCGTCTTGAAGGGCAAGAGCCTGATCCAAAGAATAGGAGAGGTTAGCTTTCCAGCAAATGCTGTGTTCCTCAGCGTAAATTTTATCTGAAACACTAACTCAGAATCAGTCCTAAAAATAACTAATAAAGTCCAGCAGGAGGACTGACACCTATAAACAAGCATCCTGTATCCAGGTACAGAGACAAGCAGCAGCCACTCTGGAAACAGAGGAGACTATGCAACAGTAAATTAGCTAAGTCTGTTCACACTGTTCACTACACAGCGATGCTTTAAAGCCTTCCAATCATCCAACACCACAGAAGCACCATCAGCTACATAAAATGCTACCCAGTGGCTGTATGCGATCACTGAAAATCATCCCTGAGCTGACTAGAAAAGAATCAATCTCTCTAAAGGAATTCAAAAATGAATAAAAAAATCTTGTATCAATACCTAGCTGCAATTGCTCAATAGCGAGCCAACACCAAGTGCAAAAAGGCTGCTGAACAGAACAAAGGAAGATCACAAGAGCAGGAATCCAAATGCCTTGCCTCTTTTTGACCTATCTTTTCAGAATTCACTGTAACGAAAACAAAAATGGGGCAGGAGGGGTTAGGCATGCTGCAATTTGTTTCTCCCATCTGGAACCCTCTATTTCAGGTCAATCCTAAGAGACAGCAGGACAGAAAGGTCATTTCCACCATCAAAACTGAGACACAGCCTATGACAGAACCTGAAGTAGACAACTGTATCTGAGAAAACACAGCACCCAATGCTGATCACCAAATCCCTATCAGAGATAGAAAAGAAGGTATGGAGAGGGAGGAGGGGGGAAAGGTAAGTTAACTTATCAAACAAAAATCTCAATAATCAAGGGAGGTCCCATGATAATGGAGCTTTGATGTCAATACAGCAAAAGCTACAGCATTATCAAGTCAAAGGAAAAGCATTTATACATCTCAAGTTATACTCAACTCCTAACAGGTACTCATTGCCATTGCAAGTGGAGCCAGAGGAAAAAATGCCTCCTTTTGGCTAAAAAAAAAATAATCAAGCCCTGAGAATCTGTGAGGGCATTCTGATACCTTCCAATATTTACAGAAAGATCAGTAGCTGAATTTCTTGACCCAAGAGGCCAGCCATCTCAGAGGGCTGTCTCTGACTTTAAGGAACAGCTGAGCAAAGCAGAGAAGTACTCAAAGTCTTGAAGGATAAGTCACAGCACGATAATCTGTGTCTCTCACCTGACTGAAAGGAAGCACACAAAGCCTGTGCTAAAAATGAGAGTCCTACAAGTAGAGGACATTACCTGCTAAAGACAAGTGCCCCTAGAACAAAGAGAGTGATCTGGAGAACAAAACTGGCTTGGAGTTTCTTGGATAGTAGCATAACAGTAAGACACTTTCACTTCACTTATCTTTTCTCTCTCTCTTTTTTTTTTTTTTTCCCAAACCAGACTCATTAATGCTAAGGAAGGGGCCAAAGAACAAACATTCAAGATGACCATGAGAAAACATGCTGACTTGAACACTTCTTGTCACACATTTGGAGTGTGAAAAGGCTCTCAGAGACATGATTTCACCAAAAGATTCTGGAAAATAACTGTTAATTTCAACTTTGGCAGTTCTGAAAAGAGCTCTTTATGTTTTGCAGTGTTTGTTCTAACCAGGTACCTAAGAGCAAGCCAGTCCTGAAACAAAACATATACTTTCCTCAGAAATGAGCAAAGTTCATACTCCTTGCTGCTAGGAGTCCGAACAAGGTTAATGCAGCTTACCATCCTCAACACTGTTCATCTAAGAAACCTTGGTTTGAAAGTAACAGAGGTGGTGGTGCTAGAAAAGTTGCATATTAATATATTCTTCATGGAAAAGAAGTCATGAGAAATTTTTAAATTTAATGAAACATCAAACCTGAAGTTTTACATGCACAATAGCTCTGTATGTCTAGAGTTTTTAAAAAGCAAAGGCTAACATGAAGTCCCTACAGAAGTATAAGCTTACAGTACTTAACAGTCTGATCATTTAGGATTCTTAGAAGCACTTAGCTCTAACTTAATCTTAGACTACTTACACGTAAAGCAAAGAAGATGAGCTAAGTAAAGCAAAACACTATGCAAAAACTTACACCACACAATAACGTGTTAGTAATAGATTAACACTCCAAATAAAAGCCTTGATTATATCATATCACAGCACATCACAGCACACCGATGATTTGATTCTATCGCAGTATGTCAGCAAATGAGAAGTTTCATGTGGGCTAAGATTTATAACACGCAAAATCACACCAGTTATTGTTATGTTATGCCCCAAGAATCAAAGCTCCCATCTAATATGAGGGCACACGGATGTGTTTCTTCCCTGCTTTAACTAAAACACATGGGTAAGACTCCCATGATTTTTCTCAGGTCACTTTAGAAGCTCAACCTAAAGAAATGTCTTTAAAACAAAAGCTAAAAAAAACAAAAATCAACCAGAAGAAACTACTGGACTTGAGTGATCACTGGTAACCAAGAAAATAGCTCATTTATCAAAAGGAACAAGCATCCACATGGTTGATCAGGTCTACCAGAACCTGAATATGCAGCAGACACCCTGTTCTCACTGACAGCGCCTCAGTGACAGGTCAGGGCTCCATGTCAGTGACACACCAGTGCCTGTTAAGCCTTCACTCATTCCTCACTAAACCCCTGCCATTCCAACTCATGGACGTAAAAAGCAACCACAGGCCTCCTCTACGTCACAAATTATCAGCTGTTTCGTGTCATTAAACTTCCCTAATCAAAAATATTTAAACTGTCAAATTATCTTGATTATTAATGGTAACAGAATCACACATCACGTCTCCGTTTTGTTTTCCCAAGCTTTCAAAGCACTTGGAAAAAGGCTTCACTTCTAATATAAGAAAACAACCTCTTGCACTTTCTTAAAGGGTATTGAGAAGTGTGCAACGAGTGAAACCACGACTACACCGCCAAGCTACAGCAAGAGCGAGGCAGGCAGAACTGAAAGGCAGGGACACACTCCTGCTCCGTAACAAAAAAACCGTTGTTTCTTCCCTCCTTAGTCAGCTGACATTTCCGATACGCGTATGTCCCAACTGCCATTAGGGGAAAACACCCCCTCACACCATCCTGGCAGGGAAGCGAACGCGCAGAGCTCCACAGCCGCCCGGGCAGGGGCCGGGCCCACAGCAGCTCC